CCCCCCGACACAGTCAACACTTTGACCTCTACCAGGCATGCTATTACTGCCGAGGCACAAACGATGGTTGTCTCGTTTTATCTGATCAGTTCTATAGTCACTGCGACTGCATACTGAAATGCGTGCACGCGTGTGCGACACTGTTGATTAAAACGATCCACGTGTATGATTCAGTTACCAGTTTTCAATATATTCCAGACAGTAGCGTTTATCGATTGGCATAGATGATCTGTTCACTGTTTGTCAAGGTAGCATCGAACCTACAAGTGGTGAGAGATGTTCTTAGTATTAGAGTACAACTTAACGTGGTTGAACCATGATATCACTTCTGAATACAAACTATTCAAACGAAACCACGTGTGAAGAACGGCGTGATGATTATTGGTAGCTTCGGTATGTGTTGCGCAGCAATGCTTCCAGTCAGCTGCCAGTTAATAAGTAAACTGACATAAATGAGATGCATTTCGAAAGTGAATTGTTTCCAAGCTAAACTGAGAACTTTCTGATCTATAAAGTTGGAAATAATCTGCCAAAAATCGACCAGAAAAATGTTCAGACAGAAATACGGTACGTTTGATCGGTTTTACTCGAACGGAATAGATTCATGACCCACCGAAATGCTGGATCATATGACGTATACAACTATTTAACCCTTAAATGAAAACGAGCTCGTGTAACAATGACTGGCAAGGTTAGAGTCATGTGAATGACGGAATGAAGATGTATAGTGAGTGGGTTGCCAACAGCGCGTACAATGTTTTCGGTTTCCTGGTATCTTTCCTTCTGTGTGATGCACAACACACATACAGTCAGTTTTCGGGGACGCAAAAGAGCTGCGAATAACAGGCTGGAACATGAAGCTGTATGTTTATATTCCATCTCACACGCGTCTGTGGCTAACAGGCTAAAGGGTACGAATAGCGTTCCTTCTGGGGATAATCCGCTTCCAAAAACCACGAGCAGGAAGTAATTAATTTTTGAGTAAATGGAAAATGTTGAAATTCCATTATACTTGTTTGTAATTTGATAGGCATGAGCAACATTCTACGTAGATGTGACGCTGTTGGAGTGTATATGACCATAACATATGGTAGAGATTGACTCTCGAATCAGCTTCGAAAAATCTACCCGTTCTCTGATTATGACTTTCTCGGATGATAAGGGCAGGAACTAATTTATGGATTCACTATCCCACCCATCCCCTCTCTCTCAGTGATTTGCGAGGTTATCTAAGTATTTCACTAATCCTTCCGTTACCCATATAGTTTTCATCAAGTATAGGCCCACCGTCAAGTTAGCCACATATTATTCAGGCTGTATTCATCCTTCTGTGAAGTGAAAAACGTAAGCAATGTCAAAGATTGCGAGACGCGATTCACTTTGCTGTATAAAGAACGCCTGTAGATTGCATCACATTTCAGAAACTGAGATGTCTTTGATGGAAATTTCAGTCACTCGATACGTTTGGCCCGGGAACATTCAATCTTTACTCCATATGTGAATCTGTGTTCGCCACAGAGTCCGTGTAAGCCATTTCCACTTGGATAAAGCAGTCTTCTTTTCAATCAGTTCAGCTTTACACTACATCAAATGAGGCTATGTTTTGCACCCGTCTGCATCCGTTGCAGATCACAACGTCACGGGTATATTTGGGCAAAACGAGTAATGTTGACAACTGCTACAACCTTTAAATTTACTTCGGCATTAGTGAACGATTAATTTCCACCGTTTCTCCTTTGATTAAAACAGTTGTATTATACAACTGATCTAATCCCCCTGGAGCTTCTCATCTCTACACATTTGAAGTACTACGCAAAACTGTCACTTGGGCCCAGGGGGTTTAGTTTGACTAAACTAGTCGAACAGATTCGTTGCTCCGAGGTCTGTACACAAGTGTCTGTCTTCGATCAACCCTCACCCGACTATACACTTATCCCCGAATCTGAAAATCATCGGTGGCCACGTCTATGAGAAAGAAAGTCGACGAATTCATCGGTCCGCACACACGTAAAGCAAGCCCACCCTGTTTTTTCTTGGATTGCCTGCTTTCTGTGAGCCAGCATCTCGATATGAGCGTTCACAACTCAAAGTTTCTTGTAACGAAAATACAAGCATTGATCAACAATAATTCTTTTGAAGTTTTCATACTTAAACTGTGGATGAGGCTTGATAAGTGTATTCTACACAGTACTATGAAGCCAAAATATCTTTGTATGTACCTTCGGCATCAATGTTTTTAGATTCGTTGATCTCACATCACCGGTTTGAACGAACTCTAGCCTCAAAGAAAGGTGCGAATGACTGGGTAATAAGAATTCTGTGATAGGAATGAAGCTCTCCAAAACAGCCGTTCATAACTTACTTGTAAATCTCACTGGTTTGAACCAAATAAACAGAGCGGTAAAGTTGAAATGAAAGACAGTGATACAGTGAGTGAACGGAGATCGGTATGCAATGCGTACCAAGACTTGGCAATAACCAAAAATGATGAAGACAGTTCAGCAGCCCTTTGCAGCTTTTTGTCTCCAGATCTTACTACCCAGTTAAAAAGACATTTCGTAAGTACATGTTTGGTTCATTTGTCTGAGATTGCTTTTCATTATTCCCACCGAATACGCATTGTTGATTGTTGGACCAAACAATAATTTGCAAATAACGGGCGGTAAATAATCGTTTTGTAAAAACAAAAGAAACTAAGAGAGGAGGAAAAATCTATACGTTTTTCATGACTAACTATTGTTCAGTCATTTGTTTTTATATCGGTATAGAAGGTAGGTTTGAATAAAATCCTATCCCCAGATTTACTTTCGGAACCCTGATGAGTGGATTAAATCATTCATACACTTTTCTTTCTCTCTGTCTAGTTATCTGCACCCAGTGAATCACTCGCACCTACCCTATCCGACTGGATCAAGACACTTCGTGTGATCATGGATCAGATGAAGTCGGCCTGGCGAGATCTGATCTCCAGTCCGGAGGCTGACGTTGAACTAACCGCCTTTCTACGTCGTTGGTCAAATCAGTTGAGACCGATGGAAGGCTCACGTTCTTTGGCCAATTTTAGCTCCCTGGACAATCAGTCGACCGATTTTGATGCCAATGAGCTGGCCGAATTCACCAGACACATCCAGGTGAGTGAAATGACGCACAACTCACCAGACAGCTCTGAATTCGGTAACGGTTGCATTGTTTTTCAAAGTCATATATTCAGCTTGTTTAGTATCCAACAATCAAAATCAGGCTTTGATAACTGAAATAACTTCTTGTAACTTCACAACGGGTCTGATTCTAGGGAATTGAAGAGGACACCACAGATTGGCAATCAAGTCACAAGGCTTAGGCAATTCCAAGATAAGACATAGGGTAAATAACAAGCTCGTTTTCAGCAATTGGTAATCGTGCCAATACAATACAATATGTTACCTAAAAGAAGGATAAAATTGTTTTGGGTTGCAAAACACCTCACAGAACAGATTTCTAGGATAGATTTCATCTTAAAACCGGGCAGGTCGTGCATGTTGATCACACCACTGTTTTTTTCATTATTCACTCCCTGGGATTATTCGAAAAGGGGGTTTACCGCGGGCAGGTGAGGGGGTCAGATAACCTTAAGTGCCTATTTTGGACTGGCACAACGGATTGTGTAGATAAAAACCTACCGATTCTGCTACGGCTGGTATCTGGCAGTCAACCTGTCTTGTTAGCATATAACGAACCCCAGCCCTACTGTGCCCCCTTTGAACGGCAAAACAAAGTATATTGACTTTTTAACCTCAGTATTCCTTAAAATGTTCTCATTGCTCAGAACCGGTTGAATGGCCAGGTGCTCCGGATACCCATTGGGTCCATTCTTTGTTCTAGTAAACCGGATAAAGGATATCTATCGTGATCTATTGATGTGATCACGAATCACTCAAATCGAACTTGCTCCTCACTGTGTTTCTGTTGTCTTATGCCAAGACCGAAGATCGATACGTGCGCCTCTTTGTCTAGGCCCCAACAACTGGAGAAAGAACACTGCTGAGAAACCACAGTCGGAGTGTATTCTTGATCATGAAACAACAAGCAAACACGTGTAGTAAATAGGGCGTACGCGGAAAGACGTGATGACGTGCCAATCAGATCGAGACCTTAACACTCAGGTTGATCGATCGGACGACAGCTATTTGATTCGCCTTAGTCATCCAATCAGGGGTCGATTCGGCTTGGGCGTCACGAGCACACTTGTGGTGTGACGCGGATCGTTGCGTGGTAGGACGGATTCTGTGCGCTCCGTCCTAACAGTTTCAAATGTGTTCTGTGGAAGTATTTAGACAACTCAAGCAATCACCCTACCGAGCTTGAGCAATTCACAAGCTATGATAATTAGTCGGTGAGCTCTTTTCATCCAATAACCACTCACTTTGCAGAGTGTCAGGTCACACTCCTTAGTCCAATGAATCGTGCAGCAGATGTGTGCTGCTCCATGCTTTTATACATAGTGCTAATCAATTGCTCAAGAGTAATCAAAGAGATCTCTCCCGTCTTCTCATTCCGCTGAGAAAAAGCAAGGAAATTCCATCGTGTTCGATCCAAATCAATAGTAATAATTCTGATCGAGTACAAATGATCATTACATGAATTTGATGAGTTACTATGAGCGCGCTTCTGAATGTCTGTCCTACCCGGCCTTATTTGTGGCCCTTCTAGTTCCATTCATAATAAAGTAATCAGTGCGTAAAAATTCAGAACAAATAAAATCGTTTGTGGCACGCTGGAAATTCTGGTACATCTTTTTCATTTTCAGCATTTTACTGATCTACATTTATTTCAAACATCTTCCTCTTATACTTTATCACAATTCGTTCCATGTAATATCGGATCGGCTTTTTTTGGGCACTCACCGAGTTGTTTCTTTTCCAAACACAAACACACACACTTCTCGTCCGTGGCTTCGCGGCTGATCACGGCCTGATACAGGTGTTCCATATTCTACTGGAATCACTTCGAGATGTGCTAGTCACTGTGGTCCAAAAACACAAAGGAGAAAAATGGGCGCTTCCACCATGGTTACCACGAGTACGCGAACATGTGAACACCTTACTCTGCTGGCTTCCGATCACGGTCGAGCTGCCAGACGGAGGATCAGACTGCTCAGATTGTTTACTCACTCGGGCGCATGTGTTGATGGACATGTTGGATTTGGAAGACGAGGGAGAGGTACGGGACTGCGCTCTACCGATCGGTCGTGATCCGACGTGCCAGCTCAACTCTCTATCTAGTTGGTTGAGATTGAACATGAATTCGAAACCGACGGTAAGGGCCGCAGTACTTTTCACTTCACTGTACTTTATGTAACCCACATTGTTATTAAGTATGTGGCGAGTGTTGTTGAGAGAGGTGATGTAAAAATAAAGTAATAAAAGTAAGTAATAAACAGTTCCTCAAATCATATTTGGTGACAGTTTTGTTGGATGGGTATGCCTATCGTTTACTTCATTCATTTTAAGAGTTTAGATTTATGGCCACGCAAATTAAATAGGATAAACTCAGGGTGTTGATCGCATAACTAACTCACCTCACTCCAATTGACGACAACTTCTGTGATTCCAGTGCTCGATGAGCTTCGAAGGAACAATTTGTGGTAGAATCATTTTATGCTGTTAAATGGTGACTTGCACATGATTGTATCTGAATCGATATTTGATCGTGTTTCGAAAAGAGCACATCTATCTTTGATCATTTGAATCACAATCCAGCCTTTCCAGTTTCACTGTGGGAAGTTGAAAAGGTGAGTATAAGAGAATACATCCATCCATCCATACACACATACTAGATCTGTTTGTTTGATGGCAAGCACTGTCCGTTGCTAACCCACATGTGCAGAGGCAGGGTGTCTCGGTGATGGAGGCTCTTTGCTTCCGAAAAAAACATTTGTCCCTGTTCTTCGGTATTTCGAATTTTCCTGTCCTCCCCAATAATTTTGAAATCTGCCTCTCAGATTCAATAAACATTTACCCGGATTTGAAATGATCTGGATTTATAGTGGTGCTGTCAGGGCATAGTTTTAAATGTCTCTTTAGGTAGACAAACGGTTTCTGGAAGTTAATTCGAGGCCAGTTTTTCTTATTTAGTATCCATTTATCATAAACAGAGCACAGTAGCATGCATTTGCACACCCGAATAATATACTTTACATTCACTCCACCCTCACTAATGCACCATCGCATCCATACGCGCTAAAGGTTGTATGCATTTCAATCTGTCAATTGGTTTCATAAGGCGGAAAGCGCTTTGACAGGGATATGAAAATGAGAGGTACATTATGAGCAGAAAAGTCAGTGTCTTGCATACTGCCATGTTTTTATCAATAAAGGCTTGATAACGGTACCGATCCCCGAATTCTATTTTCCCTATGGAGTAGTCTTATCGTTTATCACCCGCAGCTTTCAGTAAAGCGGAAAGTGGCTGGCAAAATAGCTTTCAAAACGCACAAAGAAAACTGAAAAGTTAGGCGATGATTTTGTGATTTTTCGAACACACAGCCCGTGCAGAAGTGATAACGACCTATATCGTTTGAATGCCATCGATTGGTTATTTATCCATTAAATTAAGATAGATATCAATAAATGTATCTTTTCACAGGTCTGTTCGCGAATTCCGACTTAACGTGAGTCTGGACCAAATGAGAATGAATCGATTGGGGCTCAGTAACTACAATTCCATCACCGAAATAAGTTTTCTAGCAATTTCCTATCCCATCCAGGGACCGAATATTCTACCAGTTGTTTAGCTCTGATTAAAGGAGGATGTTGATGAAATCACAGATTTAAAAGAGGCATAAAAGAGGGATAACCAATATGGAATAGATTGCATTTGACCAGCTCATGGACCGTTGTTCTAACATTGGCAATCGGAATTACGGTCTCTTCAGCCCGATTACCAGAATACACCACAGAAAATCATCGGCCATTCAAATAAATAGCCGTGTTGTCAACATTTAATACCAAACATTCGAATTCAAATTTTTATTATGGAAAAAACTTACAACGACTTCGCTTAGCAAGCCCCATTGGGTGTCTACATTTTGGGTTCGGAACACGATTCGCAAGATCACAGTTGCTCCATGTGAATAAAATAGTAATGTAATGTTTTTTACGAACACAGCAGAATATATTATGTTGTTAGGTGTTGAACCATAATGTTTATCAGAGCATCATCAAGCTGATGCTTGAAAGATACTAATGTTGGAGCACAAACCACATGAAAGGGTAGAGAGTATTCAATGTGTTGCACACTCTGACTGCAAACGAATGGCGTCTGCAATCGAGGCTGCTCATTTGGAGTGCCAACTTCATTGGATGCCCTTTGAGATGAACATTGATTGATGGAACCAAAAGAAAGCTAGATGGATGGTTGGGCTGTTGGAAAATCCGATACAGTAAGTTCATGTTATCGCCGATTTGACGATATTGAGACCAACATAGCCCCAATAGCTGCAATCTTTCGCCTTAAGTCTTGGAATGTAGACCTTGGACTATCTTGGTAGCCACATGTCAGTGGTTATGAGTAAGCTACTGCATGAATCAACGGAAGGTTGACTTCTGCCCAAATATTTTCACTGTGCCCTGTGTCCTAACGTGGAGCATGTGAATGACAGTTCCACCCTTCCTTCCTAATTGTGAAATCTTACATTATCTATTCATTGAAAAGAAGTAAGGGGTGATTGATGTATCATCCATCCATATAATGTGCAGATAATACCTTACGGGTAATACGCGCTGCACATGAAGTTTGATTTTATCGATCATCCTATCATACTGTCCGTTCAATCTTCTGTTGAATACAGACAACCGATGCCGAACAAAGTATGGAACACAAACCATATCTGTGGGATTGCACATTGCAAAGGATCGAAACGATGCGAGCGCAGATCGATGCTGTCAGTCGGGCCTGGCAAATATTTCATCAGCTGCATCAGTTTGCTACGGAAATGCTGGAACAGAGTGAACTGATCGAAGCACGAAACCCCGTGCACATTGAGGTGAGCGTCCATTCCAATATTTATCCTGCGGCTCTGTTGTTGACACAACGCATTCAACACAGGTCATTCCTTAAAATCTCACTCCACGTTCTCCTGATCATGACACATTCATTTCCGCCCGTTCGACAAGCTGGGCATATTTGTTGTCACGTCACCAGTCGTGGTAACATCTGCAGAGCTTGTGCAATAGTTTTTTGTTGAAATGTTAATACGCAAGTCGCTGAACCTGGAGAAAGGAGTAAACTGATTTTTAATTATGACAAATGTTGATCGACCGGTTTCCCCGAAATGAGCCCTAATAAAGAGACCAAGAGCACGACTGTACCATATAGCCAGGCGCATTTCACTGCAGCTCAACACGTGCACACAGCAGTTTGATGTGTGGTCATCAATTATCGAATCATGGACTGAGTAAGGTTGCAAAATTATTTCTCTTGTTTTGTGAAAAAGTGATCCTTGAGATATTGAGAGGAATTAAATGAGTGTCATTTAGCTGAACCACTCAATTCTTTAGAAGTTGTTGCGAATGCATACGGTTTTTCTGTTGGTTGTTTCAGACATTGTGAAATGTGAAATGTGAAAAGTGAAATGTGTAAAACCACATCTTAATCCATCTTGTATGTACATCGCCAACCGGAATCGATGACCATGGGCATAGTTTCGGTCCCGATAACTGCGGTTTCGTTATCGTTTCTCTCTGATCGCTTTACAACACCGCAATTGTTAAAAGTTTTAAACCAGCCTCTCCTTATGTTCCGTTGACGCCGATTTAGCTAAACACGACGACTACAAGAAACATTATTTATTTCCGATCAATTTGTGCACTTTGTTTGCCCTCAAAATTGTCATTGAGAATTGGGGAATTAGCTCCCGTGTGAGAAACGTTTTTCATTCCGATAAATTATTGAATGGTTTAGCATTCTGTTCACCGTGTCTACTCAAATCTGGATGTTTCTCCGTAACATCCTGTTCATTTACGAAACTCCTTCCACCTGTTCTCGCATATTCCATATTTATGTTGTTATATATATATATTCTTTTTGTCAAAAGGATATTCTTTTTGAGTATCGTTTCGAGAGGAAGGCAAAATTCTTATTAAGCAGTGATAAATGATTGCTATTACTAAAACTCCTCACACTTTCGGCGGATCATAACCGAACCACACTCAACGAGCTCGAACAGAAACACGAATGCATGGCTAATGGACCGCATGAATGGACTATATTCTTCCATTTCGCCTATTCACCGAGCTTGGCAATTTGTTTGCAAACGTTACATCACCAGCCGAGGTGACATCATCAGTGCTTGTGAAGTGGCAGTGTTGCGCTTGGCCCCTTCGTTTATATATGTGGTATTCTCCACCGATCGGATCACGTGTACACGACAATGCAACTCAAGGATCAAATGACGCAACAAGAAAGGTCACACCGGGACCTGAGAACGTACCGAAGCCGCAATCAGGGCTGAAGGACAACTCCATCCCCTCCCATTCTAACCCCCTCGCAGCAGTTTAACGGAGAACCGAGTCAAACACAGTGAAAAAAGGGACGAAAACAGTCAATGGAGAAGACCACGTACATAAACGAACGGGTCCAGCACAACACTGCCACTTCACAAGCACTGATGATTTCACGTCGGCTGACGATGTAACGTTTGCTAACAAATTGCCAAGCTCGACGAACAGGCGAAATAGAATTCAATTCACCCGGTCTACGAGAACCGATTTTCACTACTTTGTCAACGGAGTATATTCGTGATATTCCACCATATTTCATCATGAAATTTGTAATTGATGCAGATCTTTCACTCTTCTAGTCTTTCAGTTTGGTCCAGTTTTTCTGTCCTGGATGCATTAGATAATCGTCCAACAACCGATGGCCTTGGGCGTATGTTTGAGGCCGCACACGGTAAAAACCCACGACTAATAAAATTTTGAGTTGACGCTAGCAGGAGCCACTCTCTTCAGCGATTATTGTTTTGCTCAGATGCTACAAATGTGTAGACGGAACAGGACTGACAGGGGACAACTAGCTAATTTATGTGAAAGTCTGACCGGTTTACTGCCAGACACAAGAGTCATCTTTTTGAACTCAGCTTACCGGTGGGGGTATTGACCGGCGTAAGAGCACCCAGCACGGTCAAGGCCAGCTATCAAAACATCTCTGTTTGTGAAAAGATACTGCCAACGTGTTATTATGCTTATATAAACTGAAGGATCGAGTCAAGGACAGCAGTAACTGGTACACAAAGGTTAGTCCGCAACTGATCCCTTTGTGCGCCGGTCACCGACGAGCAGGTGGAAGACGGGCAACTCTCAGGCATCCTGTATAGCGAGATGGAAAACTTAGGAGTAACTGGCGGAATTCAGTCCATATTAACAGGAATTTTGATTCAAAGAAACCAACGGTCAACAAGAGTAGCAAGAACTCTGATCACAAACTGTCTCGGTTGTAGATTCGCCGCCAAGAATCCTTGGCACTACATGTATAATGATCATAATGTAAACCGAAATGTCTCAGCTTTTATATTTTTAAAACATCATCCTTCCTTTTGTAAACTCAGTGTTGATTTTGAAGATTGTTCTCGAAACTTTTGATCTGTAAAGCTTTCATCATTTTTTCCAAGTCACCATATCCCGAACTTCATCCTCTAACACCAATCTTGGTACACGCATAGAGGATTTATAGCCCACAAGTATGAGATAGTAATAAGTACCATAGAAACATGATATCAGTTTAGATCGTCTTATGCCATTTCTCCTTCGTAAAAACGCTTCTTATCTTTGTACACGGCAGATGTTACACATAGCTTCTTAAAAGATAATCCTTGGACTTCTAAAGTAAACAATAGTGTTGAATGAAGATTTACACAGTTTACAAGTAGCTCACAGTCGACAGCGCGTAAGTGCTTGCCCTTATCGTCGTAGTGCAAAACTGCAGCCACAATTCTGCATAGATCCAAGCTCGAATCAAATATTTCTGAAGATAATAATTGAATGGAATATATATTTTTTCGCTGATTGGGACACTACATTTGTGAACGGGACTTGGAATTTCCAGATGAGTCTGTGTCACGTGTAGAGGAATCTCATTGGCTAATTCAAGTTATCTGGGACATCACTGTGATATCTACGATATTCCATTCGGCGTCCTACACATAATAGTAGGTTGTTCAATCTTACTGTTTGACTTGGAGCAGTGGCAACGAAGCGTAGAAAATCCAGCACCACATTCAATTTTTGAGCACCATCAATTGGAGCCAATGTTGCACACGTCCTATCTACTAAGTTACCTCAAAGCGCAGTATGCGTGGGATCATTCGGTATTGAGCGATCAGATGACGACTGCAAGTGATAGAATAAGTCGGATTGTTAGAGATTTAGATGGTCAAGTTGGTCCGGAAAGAGAAGTTTTTATGGTTTCACTCGAAACCCCGTGTTATGTGGCCATGTTTCATCACCTTGCTCATTTTATTCACTGCCTTCAGAAATATATACTTCATTTATTGTTTTATTCCGTCATTCTTGTTTATTCTACATAATATAACTATTTAATGGGTACCGATGGCGAAGCAAACGAAATTCTCATTGACGATTGTGAAATCGCTAAGCATTGTTTATTTCCCCCTCATTTCCATCTTTTTGAACTTCCATCAACCTCTTCAGGAACTTCGAGCAGCGTTAAACGCCCTCGAAAATGACCTTAACTCCATCGATATAAATCCATGCCTGGCTGGCACATCGATCGATGTGATGCGTCAATTCTGGATCAGGCAAGTACTCGTACTGTACAAGCTTCTACCCCCGTGTGATTCGTGGTCATCGAGTCATTCGTCCGGACAGACTTCTGATGCCACTCTGCTCTACCAGAATATGAATCAGATACTGGGCGATGTGAACCGGATTCAGCATAGCATTCTCACAGCACTGGCTCGTGGGCTGAACACCCAAGTCCCGGGTTGCACGCAACAATCCGACTCGGACGCCATATTCACGCCCCGTATCAGTTACGACTTGAATTTGAAATTGCCAACGGAATCGGATGTGGCACACGTAAGTGAATCGAGTACTATCATCTTTCCGATAGTACATGTTGCGGGATATGTACTCACTCCGTCTTCGAACTGTTTTCTTCTACGAGAATGGCGTGTGTGTGTTTATGAGCGTCGCATTTATAAAAGTATAAACGCACGTGACTACACCTGTACCGGAAGGTTTTTCAGTAGTGAAATGACTTGTAGTTACGACCCTTTCGTGAGATTCCAGATAGGAATAATTTGACAATAAACGTGTTAAAGGAACCAACTATATACAAGTAACATATCCTGGATCAGACTGCGGGACAGACCAGTTGTGACAGTTTAAATCGGGGGTACAACTTTATGTAGACGCAGTCACAATACGAGCACAATACGACAAGCCTGATTTAAGTACTTAGAGGCCAGAAATACAGATAGCCAAGGCTCAACTGCGATTCGGAGTTCAGTCTCGCGATTCAAAGCAAAAAATGTGTAATAGCAACCAAGTAGCTATCAGCAAATGGACGGACGGCTGTCACACGTCCACCTAGAACCGATGAGAACATACGTGAGATCATCATACAAAGGAAATTACATAGAATTGAGTGGTTAAGTGGTTTCGGGTAGTTGTGACAGTATGGTGTATGAGAAATGTGCTTAGTATGAGATGAACAAAAGGTCAGGGTCACCATCATTGATGATGCACTTCGTTAAAATGTATCAACAAGATGAACGAAAAAGTTGATGGAATGTTGAGCAATTTTGTTCAAGCAGACTGCACATGGGGCAAAATGTCTGGCATTATCGAGTTCTCGAGTAGTATGAAACGCCGAATACGACAGCAGCTGTTTTTTTCCATGGTCATATAACCGGACCATTGGAAAAGCAAATGAAAGCGAACTCAAAAAAATATCATATGACACACGAAAGCCTTTGATTTTGATCAAATGGCTAGTGTCTATTATTCGGCGTTTCTGTCACTCCAAAATGATGCAAAGCCTGCTCTCACAAGGTTTTGGGTAGTAGCAGTAACTCTCAACATTATTGATCAGTCCCCTTCCAAAATGGAGCAGATCAATCAATCGGACAGGCAGAGAAACATCTTCGAATTTGAATTAAATCAGCCGTTCGGTTTCTTGAGGGGCTCTTACATGCTCATTAATTGCCGCTCGCTCGATTTCCAGAATAAATTAGATCTTCGGGATGAGAAATGAACAGAAGCACGATAGTCGTTGTTATCCCTTCTATCGGCAATAGAATTGAGAGTAGTGTTGCGGAAAATGATCACACAAATATTCCTTTAGACCCGGTGACCTGTTTAATGTCGTTCCGATGGGATTCCCTTTTTTCAACCAACTCATTCTTTTATACTGAGAGACAAGGATAAATGTGTGTCGTCCAGAATTCATCTTTCAGTCGGGAACACGAAACTGGACTACACTTGAATTTGATGCATGGTTTTGTTTACATAATCACTTGTCAAGTTGCAATCTCTCTATTTCTTATGTATCGGGAGTATGATGAAATACATAGGTTGTTTTTTGTCTTGTTCAGTCCAGTCTGATGATGGATACAATTGTTGACTCATATGACGTGATACGGTCTCCCAACACACACACACACACACGTGATTATCAGAGCACAAATCTTCTCAAGCGAACGGAGCAAGCAACCTGATTGCGATCGGTTGTTGTTCGCAAACACGGCAGAGACAGTGGATGTATGAAACATTTTCCATGAAAGAAAAACTCATTCAGAGCACAAATCATCCAATACGCATGCCCTCAATGCAGTGGATGGGAATCAATACCATCTACACAAATCGAGATACCTCTCCATAGATTAAACTGATTAAACTGAAACCTTATTTATAATGATTGTCGTTTGAAACAGTTTTATCTGCTCGATATTTATCCTATCATTGGTTTTATTAACTAACATTTAGGCATAGTTTATGATTTGGCCTTCGGGAATAGATAATCATGATGCCTAAATAGAACTGCTCTGATCTTCTACCAATTCAGTACAGTGCTGATGAATAAGCCCCCAAAACTGGTCATCACGTCAACATATTATTCAGCCTTTCCGCTCGTAATGCCACGGCAAACTATCTATCCGCATCCGCATTTATCAGATAACCTTTTATTAGCCGTTTACTGACGGCTAGTGGGCATGAAGGAAAACACCTGGCGGTGGACAATCATAAAGTGCAACGAATGTCGTCGTTACCCTACCAGACAACTGATACCTCCAATTGTTTCACATAACGGTGTAGCGTCCAACCCGCTGTTCTATCCCGTCCAAGTTATCTGCTTTGTGCGTCGCGGGTATTCTCCCTCACGTGCTTTCGAACAGTCAATATTTCATTGTTATTTTCCTAGGATTCATTGGCGTCATGATGTCGAACGTGGAACTCTCCAGACAGTAAAATTCGAACAACCTGCTAACGTGTAGTTCACATCGGGTATGCTTTGTGTTCACACTGAGGGCTGATCAGCAGGTCTTTACAAATACTTAATGAGGACGGGTAACCAATTGGGAAGCGACGCGTGGCTTGTAACTTGGCCTAACACGATAGTAAAACCAAGAAATGACGCACAACTAACACTTATTGGCTTGACACCTGAGGTACTCGTGAATATGCTCGAGTACGTGTTTTCGTCCGACGTAAAAATCAGATTCCCTCGTTTTAAGCTTCTATCCATTTTCACTATGTGCGGATGGATCGATTAATTTCTTCAGCTATTACTTTATTTTGTTGTTAATCACAACCTGAATTGCATTGGTGAAATATCGTTAACCTTCCAATATGTCATTCTAATGTGAAATGGTTTCATGCAGATATCCATCGAAGACGTGCAAGTAATTCACATCAAAGCAAAGTGATGGCCTGCTAAATGTTTGTGATTAGGTCCGGCTACAGCCAAGGCTAACGTATTGATAGAGGTTTTAGGAGTTATTGACAAAATTGGACAACCCGATCGCCTGAGATCACCTCCCCCACTAGAACCTGAATTGAACGAGCTCGTGACCGAGGATAGTTTAAGTTTAGTTTCGTGAATCACCTCATTAAATGGTGCGGGAAATAAGTCTATTAGGTTATGACTCAAAACGACTGTACACGAGTTAACCAAAGCTAATTAAATCGAATGTTTTGATTGCATTCAGTCAGTAGCAACAACAAATGAAAAGTTCAAATACGAATGTGGTTAAAATGAGCACTTAGTTTTGATAGTGTTAGCGCTATACAAGCATGAGCCCAATGTAGAATGAATCTAGGATTTCTGGAAAGCCCCTGAACTGAGTTCAGTCAATGCGTGTCTTACATTGCATTGCGCATCGCAAGACGTAATCCTTGTGATGGTCTGCTCCTGTAAACAACTTCATAGAGATTTCCATAAATACGACCAGTGCCTGATGTTGGTTGAACTCAGTCATCGCTGCCACCAATTTGTTTTTGAATGTAAACCGTCAAGTTGATCCTTTTTTCTACCGCAAAAGCATACATTTCAACCCATACACTTACCCATCCACACACCCGTTCATTTCCATCTCAGATGTACGCAAAACTGGCTCACCTAAGTCATCTGTGTCATGAGGCCGATCGTCTTCTGACCGAAAGTGATCCAAACGATTCTGAGGTCCTAAATTGCACAGTTGGTCTGATCGCTCAACCAGTCGGTCTGTGCACAGACGATCCAGCCGTGGTATATGCGCTCAATCTGTTGAAACAGCTTCAAGCTGCGGTGCTGTGCTCACCGAATGAATTGCAACGGCGCGTGAAAAACTCCGTGGACGAGACGGACAAGATGCGCGAACTGATCGAATCGTTGTGAGTTCTCGATTATTTTGCCTTTCGCGTTTTTGTCCTAACAAAAAGAAGACTCGAACGATGGGTACAATGTATGGTCATTTTACTCTCCAATCTTTTAGAACATTTACCCAGCTTATATACTGGTCCCAAAGACCACTAAGTATACCTTTACAAAACGTAACCATTAGCTTTTGTGGATTTTAAAATCATTGTGCGTAGTTTGTCATGTTTTTTGTTGGTTTGCTTCGTACAGTTGTGCAAACTTCGCCAGTTCTGACCGAATTACCTGAACTCATTTTGGAAGCATTGCTGCTAAATCGGTGAATTGCTTGGTAGACAAACTATTGACCTAGGGTTTAGAGCGGAACAATTAACCATGTGTATAGTAAAAATCACAGATTTAGGCTATTTGTTAACCGGCAAAATAACCTTATAGGCGGGAACGAGCATCCTGTCAAAGATAGATAATTCGTACAGCCATGATGCAGAGGTTATGGTTTTCTTTTTTTCAGTTAGTTTGCGCAAATTCTTTTTCAGATTACGATGTATAAGCATGACTTTTCTCTTGAGATTATCCTCCAAAGAAATTTGTACCATTCTCCTGGAATATGGAATTTCCATGGGGCTGGATACATGGTGGGAAACCATATCTAATTACCCATTACAGACTAAAGTTTTCAGCATTTCTGATTTCCATAGATCGAATTCCCCGCTCCACAGATTGATCAAGTTTACTGGGTTGGAACAGTCGTTTTCGAAGTCTTCTTCCATACACAAAATTCAAAGAATAAGAGGCGGTAAATGAAGCTACTCGAGTGTGGTTTGCAATATTTATCGGCAGCTCACACATACCAGAGATGTCCATTGGCAATATTAAACCACTACCAAGACATCAATCGTAGCATTCGTTTACTCATTTGATTGGTCGGTAATTTAGTTATGGTCTTCACACACACATACACACACAACAACAAAACTGCAAATTGAGTCTGTCGTTTGCAATATCGAAATGTACCCAGCATGCTTTCTTAGACGGGAGGTGCGATTCGGAGGTTTGCATCTTATATCCGATGAGCACATTTGTACTTAACAGATTGGATGGGGAACAGAATAGACTGTCGATGCTCAAACCGATAACTATGTGCTATGACGGAGAGATGACATTGGGAGATAAGTTATTGTATCCGAACATTAAATTGTACTTCGCAATTTGGACGTGCCTGTTTTTTTCATCACGAACCTGGATATGAGTTGATCTCTTTATTCTGTATTTCTTTTCTGGTGTCTCCTTGGTTTCACTGTTCACTTCCAACCGTATTTTCATTCGAATACCGGGCAATAATAGATCAGAACATGTACATGAATCTCCCCTCACGGAGCATCGTCTCTATATGGCCTTACCAAATCTGACGGGGCGTCTCATGGACGAACTATCTAAGGCTGTGGACGAGTTGGAAGTACGCTCTACCCAATGTCGTCTGGAATCGCCTGTCCCTGTACAGTCCAAGGCAACAATTGCTGATCATCTTAAGGTGAGTTCATCATTCGGAAATGGACGGGTTTTCCGCCTCGTCAGTATGAATGAGCTGTTTCACGGGATCGGTATTTATGGTTCGAATGAATCCATGTGGTATGGTTCTCATATGAAAGTCATTCATGTGGTCACGGTGGTCACAAATGGGTCACGGAATATCCGAAAATATCAGTCCAATTCAAGCATGTAACTGCTGAAATGAGAGCAAACGATTTGTGTAAAATAACATCAGTCCATACTAAATTCCTTGACTCGGTAGTACACCACGGTTTTGAATATTTATATTCACCTCCAATCACTGCCTCAGTCGTTAACTGAAGAGAAGTATTCATCGCCAGGACACCTCCTTGAAATTTAAGTCGATGAAGTTCTTATCGCTGCTTTTCATTCTTCATTCGACAGTAAACGTATAGCTTCTAGGAATTTGGAAAGAGCTGGCAAAATCGTATACAGATGACACTTCTGTCGGAACTGTGATCGATGATTTAACAATTCAGGTGCGAGTCTATCATCTCCTATGATTGACGGGCGTGTTGAGCAAAAACGGATAATCAGTTTGAAACCATTTATTGAAAAGTCTGTGTATGGTCTTCAGTATGAGTAACACCTTTGTGCGTGCTCCTTCTCGCACTCCTGTGGAGCAGAATCTGTAGGAAGGACGACTGGGGAATGTCGCAGAGGATGTAAGATCACCGTCCAGCATAGCGATCAAACGAGATCGATAAAAGTGGAACTAGTGCCATTCTGGCCCGCGCACATCCACAGGTCGTAAACCGATGCCAAAGGTAGGAGTACAAGGTCTCTCACTGACCGAGTAGCCTATAATCGATTGAAAGGCGGGAGACCAAATCCTATCCACAGCCCAATCGCACACGACCAGGCTGACCCGACCAATACGGCGATCGCAGAAACATTTTATCAAGAACTTGCTATTGCCTTGGTCCAAGGGCAATGTGATTATGAATCAGACATGCCTGATTGACTCGTCCGTGACTAGTCCATCCAGGGAGAGTCCACAAAATCAACCCACATAATAACTGCCCACTCACACTAAGGGTTTGTTAGGCTGCGCTAGGTTTGCCTATTTGACTGGGTACTGTTCGCCTTCCATTTTCTCTGTGTTCGACGAAAATTAACTTGTAATCGAATTTAATTCTCCACTACATCCGAATAGTAAAAGCCATCGACCATTTTTTTGGGAAAGGGAATGACAGACCCCAGAGGTCGTGATCTAAATAGCATGATAATGATGAATGATTGCAATCAATTGTTTTCATTAATGAGTACTTGCTTTCTGTCAGGCGTTGTCCCAATACCCGCTCCCAAGAGCTCACTGTACGGTTCACATCAGCATGAAATTTGACTCCGTTCCAATGTTTTCCCCGAACTCGTGTCTGTGTTCTGTATCGACATTCTCTCAATCACAACATCCAAATACGCACACTTAAGCATGCACGTACGCACGCACACCAACGCGCGCATATAATAGTGTTTATCTTTTCTCCCCTTTTTTGGGTGCGTCTGTGCGTGTGAGCGAGTGATTCACGCTTTGAAATCTATAGCCTCACTGGCTACACTAGGTGGGATAGATGGTCCTCTCGGGTTGGACCAAGTTTTCCGAACAGTCAATCGGTCGGCCAATTGTTTACACCCGACTATAGTGATACCAGACCCAGTTGACAGCGCTTCGGCATCATGAGATACCTCATGGTATGGTGGAATAAGGAACGACCGAATGTCAACAGCCGGTGTATGACTCATTCACCTGGCCCATGCATTGTCGTGCAGAGAAGCCTCGCTGTCGAATTACGCATGGTTCAATCGATTCATAAAAAATCCTGATAACAATTTCCGAACAATACGTGATCAAACTCCTCAGGTCCTCATTACCACGTAAAATACACCCCCACTGAAGTTGATAAAAGCGCCCATTTGATTCTTAGTGTTTCATGTAATTTACTGAAATACCTTACTTTGGATTCCAAAAAATGGGGTTCCTGGTTCGATCCTCCTTTTGGGAGCTGGTACCACACACGCGTGCGTTGCATGCAAAGGTGTCTACGTTCAAATTCTGGAGTGTGTGAGTAGCTATGCTCCACTGCTGAGATGTAACATGGGCGAAACACGAACCAAATGCCTCCCTAGTGAATGGTTTATTGAGTCAACTGCATAGAGGTAAAGTTGGAAAAATAATCAATCACAATGAAGGGCTTTCCCTCGGTGTTTTATTCATTCTATGAGCCATNAATCCGATCACCATTGACTGTATATACGCAACCCAGATTGTGCAGATTGCGTGCACTCAAGAGACCTTTGAGCACAGTATTGGATTTCTTACAAAAAATCAGTTGCACATAAGGAGCTTGTCAGCGATGAAAAGCCTTCCTTCGGTTGGTTTTATTAATAAATTCACGGTCTCACTGTTATCCTCCTACATTTCTTGATTGACACTGGGTCCACAATAGGGTTTTCAAATCGATTCAACAAAATTTTATAATCCGTTTATCTTCAGAAACTTGTTAGATTGTTTCATTTCACTATTATTTGAAAAAAAGGAAACGTTACAATGAAAATGGTTTCATGTCATCAATTATCTTAAACGATTGAATTGATTATTGTTTGTTATTTTGTATCCTGACACTTTTATTTGGCATAGGCGCTTACAGCCTTAAGCGATTGTTTTTGTGTCTGTAATCAATGTTGATCGANCGACTGTATTCAATGTTTGATAAAGCATCTAAGTCATTCAAATCACCAAATTCTCGCTACTGGTACGAATGTGCCCCAGGAAAGAGTCGGTGAACTGCGCGACATTTCAGTAAACTCTTTGATGCTTCGAATTAGGTATAAGTTTTGTCGTGCAGTTTTTTTTCCCCTGTTGCACTGGTCTGGAAACGCAGTAAATAAACCTTTGTTTTGACCACGCGAACGGACAGAAGGCAAGTTGATTGATTCTCCTGAAAACATATTCGGTGCCCTTATTATGAATAGAGCAGAATCTATTGACTAATGATCATACGACCGATAAACAAAAAATAAGACAAATCTGAGCTGGTTGGAACAGTGGTAACACATACGCCTTCCATGCGATGGGTCTGGAGTTCAAATCCAGGAAGGGATGGTGGATATGCACTACTGATGAGCTTCAATAAAAGCGAAACTCGAGTTTAGTGCTTCTGAGTGTATGGTTGAATCGATGAACTAAGGATTGCACGTGAAGCTGAAGTCCGAAGGATGGTCAGCTCAAATCAATAAAAATCTGCCTCAATTTATCTGTCTTGTTGTTGTTTGTTTTAGCACGCTGGTCAACGTTTGATGGAGTTAGAGACCTCACTCGAGCACGCTTGTGAGAGTATCCGGGTCTTGTTACTGCTCTCCATTGGTGACCGGTTGTGGACATCTCATCAGTCGGACTTGCGCTTGTCCGTGGTCGAACGGGGTACAGCGCTGCAGGCGGATTACGAGCACAGCTTTGGCTACGCACAACTCCGTGCTGCTTGGACACGACTTGCGCAACTTGGTGACCGTTTGGGTCGCATTCAAGCCGGGTAAGTAGAAGTTAGACTGAGATGGAAAGAGATAGAGCCTGAATTACTTCTATATTTTTGTGAAGAAATGGCATTGACACTGGATATGATCCTGTGTGATGTGAATGTTCATAGGTGAATATGGAACTAGAAAATGAGAAAACCGTATTCGGCTAAGGCTTTTAATGACCACGGGAGCAACCTGTTAGAATCCTAATCTACGTGTGCTACAGCCCATTAGGTCGTCGGGCCAAGGATTGGTTCTTGTCAGATCCGGTTTCGATCGGCTTGTCAACAAAGGGGAAGTCGTTGAGAGAACTGAATGCTACGACAAAATCAGTTTACCAGAAAACTTAGTCTATTTTGTTCCATCGGAACGTGGCGGTGAAGATCCAACAGCGTGTCTGACGGCCTCGTCTGATCGAGACTCACCCCCCTCCTCCCTCTTAATGTCTAATTTAAAATCAATCATTTCAACCCGTGAGAATACTTGGAAAACAAAGTGACATGAAATTAATATTTGTCCGGTAAACTGAACCATGTGTTATCGGTGATCGATAGACTACAAGCCATGCGATAGAAAATTTATAAAACAAAGTAAAATCTATGGTCCATAACATTCCAATGCTGGAGTCACAGTAAGAATGTGTTAAAGTTAACTTATTGATGCATTGAATAGAAATCATATATACATATGCACAGATACATTATTAACAACAAATGAAAGATCGGCACTAACCGTCGAGAAGAGACGACAAGGATGATGATCGAGAAGTGAGAGTGATCACATTACTGGTTTGCGGGTTTTATGCTCCAGTTAGACAATACCCACCCAGTTTACCAGAAAATATTTTTTATTTAGTATGATCTTTCTCCTATTGGATAAACACGTGTATATTTGACTTGTAGAGAGTTGAAAGGAGTTAAGTGACTGGTTCATAGGGTGTAAGCAAGTAGGGCAGTTGGGTTATTGTTGTGGGGTGATTAGTACGGATGACCTTGGAATTGATTTAATGGCCGTCTATCTTACTTGACCATCACTGCTGTGCAATCAGATCGATTGCGTGGGTTACTTTGAGCAGCTACTGCCTGCTACCCGACTGCTTAATGCTGCTATAAAATCTGAGACAGTTGACATTGTTGGACGTCTATTCGTCTAGTACACGTGCTTTTTATGCACTGTTGAGTACGAAAAGAGCCCAGATCGGAGTGAAGGAGGACAACAGTGCGCTTAGGTTACCAACCCAGTGCTGTGTTATCCAGTTGATATGTAGTATTTACCAACATACCATATTTAGGCGGTTTTCGTAGTTTTTGTTATTCAACCAGCTCATTATTTAATTCGTTTGACTTATTCAGATTGCTTCCGATTCACATGATCTAACCAGACCACCCAAGTTTTATTGAACTTCCCCTAAAAGGACTCGATTTGCTGCTAACATTAGCATTTCTGCATCCAATGTGTTGGTGAATGCTGCTAACTGTCATCAAAATTCTCCGCTTCATCTCCCCCTCCTCGTCTGCTTTGGTTGCAGGTTACCTATTCGACCACCGATTGAAAGTGATGGCTTCAATTGGGTAAGCCGTAACTCATTCTACTTTTTGTGTTTGGTCCCTTTCGAGCCATTTACATCTTATACGTTTTGTTTGTGCTGATTTAAACAATGACAGCACCTTTTCGATCTAACGCACCCATTTAGTTCCTGACACATCTGACATACTGGTAGATAGAGCAATGGAGGATTTGATTCAATTTCAAAGAGAGAATTCGTCATGTATAGAGCAGATGAAGCGCGTACTGAAAAGCTAGGAGGCACTACTATACAGCTGTTTAGACCTGGTTGAGTCTCATCAGCAGTGGGCAAGTCCATGAACACAACCGGGGATCAAAATTGTGGCCTCATTGACAGAACGCAAGCACGCCACCAACTCTGTCACCGGGAAGTTGATCATACCGTTTTTCATTTTACACAGACTAGCATGACCATCTTTGCTAGCTTGTTGCGGGCATCGCGCCAGCACTAGTCACCGGGATCGACTCTGTTAGAAACTTTCATAGCCTGATTACTTGTTACATTTGCTCTATACACGATGAATGCTCTCTTTGAAACTGACAGGTTATTTTAAAAACATCTAGAATTCCGTGCTGTTCCCGAATCTGGCATGGTGAACCTGGCCTATTTTCAATTACCATAGATGATGAACTTGGCGCACAGATACTTCCCGATACCCCTGAAATAAATGTGAGATACTGCATTGTAACATCCAGAACCATTAGAGCATTCGCAAAATGATGGACATAACGATTGTAATTTTATAGTGCCTAGCCCCAGAAGGGTCTAGAGATGAATAACTCGATCCAGTGTTTCTTTATTCCTTTCAATTCCACATTGTGATGGCCCATGGTATACTCGTTTTGCAACAGAAAAATGCATTCATTGTCTTGGAGGTGGTTTATTGATTTATTTATTGGCATTTATCCTTAGTATAACCCTGTTTGAAAATTACGAAAGGCAAGGTGTCTGGTAAATTGCGTTAAATATGAAGCACTCCGCAATATCAACGTGAAATGAACTTTCAACTGATCTTCAACAATTTAAAACAAAATTGGTAATGAATATCATCGTAGTCCAGTTTAATATCATTTGTGTAAGGCTCATATTATTAGCAAAAGTAACTGTTTTTCACGACTGTAGAAGAGAGCAGGCTCCCAAATGTTGCAAAATATTTCGTACTGTGCTTAGAATAAGATGGAAATCCTTTATGTGGTACAAGAAAAGCACCCTGCGTGAGGTCTGTGTGATCCGCAGTCGGTCCATGAAAACAAAATGAACAACGTGTTTAAAGCATGGGCAATTCTATGCGTCCGCGATCAATAGATTCGGTCACAGATCGATCACGTACTATTGGGTAAACGGTTGAGCGAGATTCCTTATGGGCAAGGAGAAGAATATCTGCGCTATATGCTGCTTTCATCTTTTTCTATTCTGATCATGGTCCGTGAAATGTTCCCAAATGCATAGAAATTTTCTTCTAGTCAATTAGAAGGCAAAGCAGAAGACTAAGTGATCAAGAAAGGTATCCTGTTTCCGGTTTCCAGTGGTTAACCCAACTTTTCAGTTACATTGTAGACGTTTTATTACCCACCGAGATGACACTTTC